ATGTCCATTTATGTCTATTTATGCTGCAGTATGGGTGATATGTTGATAATTCAAATGGGGAGAAAACAAATGAGCACGAAACGGGGGCATATTCTAAGTAGAGTTGCGTTCGAGTTCAACTGCATAATTGGAAAAACGCATATTCTAAGATAACGGGGTACCTTATATATATATATATCGAAGGTAGTATGGCCCCCCATATAATTTCATCAACCAGGGGTAGATCGCAACCCTGTCGTGTGCGTGATTGAGGTGACTGGTGAGCTGGCCGTCCTGGGTTTGCTATCCTTTCGCACAGCCACCTTTACAGCCTGCCGTCAATCAGACACTGCTCCTTGACTTGAAGACCTTGAAGTCATGACTTGAGCTGGCTTGAAACGAGTTGTCAAATGGAGGTTTCCTAAACTGGGAGGACCCCAAAACCATGGGTTTCAATATGTTTCAATAGTACCCCTACTTTAGGAAACCTCCAAATGTGTTCTATTTTTTTTGACAGTTCTGTTAGTTCTGTTTCGTGTTTGTGTCAAACAGAATAGCGCTCCACAGCCACAGTCATTTTCATGCTTGGATCTACAGTTTTACATCTTTTTAAAACTGTTTGTCAGTTTGTCTTGATAACAACTGAGGTGGTCATAAGTTCATCAAACCTTCGACAAGTCTTGCAGTCATCGGAAGCTGCCAGCAAACATTTGGACAAGTTGGCAGAGGAAAGACGCATGCAGATTGACCGAGGCGTAGAAATGGGTACTGTAGCAGCTGCCGTAGCAAGCAGTGGATTTGGCCAGTCAACAATTTCCTATTCCAATGGAGCATCATTTTTCCCAGTAGAATTGCACATCGGGGGCATACCTATTTTTGGACAAACCCGCAAAAATGGAACTCTACTTTGCAGCGCATCCTATGAAGAAGTTCTGAATCATCGGACCAATGTGCCAAGTAGACAAGGTAGACAGACATTCGGCAAAAGGGGGAATACTAGGTTGGGTTTAGTATGTTTAGTTGCGCACTCCCTAGTATCCATCCCTTGATGAGATACAGGCATGAAAGCAGCCCAGAGCCAATTTGGGACAATGCCATGTGCGAGAACTTTTACATCGGGTTTTGTGTTCCACAGTTGTGCCAGGTTTCCCAGTTCTTTCCCTACCTGTTGGGGCTTCCAACGATGTGTGCTCGCGCACCATCGCCTTGCACTCAGCTCCTTGGCAGATGGTGGGTCACAGTGATGAATTGGCGTCAGGCGACACGGGTACTGAAGGGCAAGGGGGTGCATTTTACATAATTTCACAAGGTCCCCCCAAAAAATCATTGACAATGCATTTGTTTGTTATATTTTGTCATTTTGCAACGCGAGATGGCTCTAGCTTCTTGATTTCCTGGTTTATGGGTTTGTTGATTTCTGGGTGTCCTGAAGCATGTCTTGACTTAAACACATTCTTTGTACTTGTTTTTTAGCAGTTTTTTTTCCAAGCCTTAAACTAAAAGCCTCAACAAATTGCAAAGCCTTGATACAACCCACAAACACGGTGAATCAATCAAACCTTTACAGAAACTCCAAATAAACCCCAAACCAACCTTGAATAAGCTTTACTTAAATAACCCCCAAAACAACCCCAATCCTAAATGAACCCTAAACCAACCATGAATAACCCCAAACCAACCCTGAGTAATTCTTCAAAGCAACCCTGAAGAACAGCCAAAAAAAACAACAAACACTCTAAACTAAACCAACCTTTCAACAACCAGAACAGGTTCTAAGCCGACCCTAAATACACATAAAACAAACTTAGAACATCTTAAAAATTAACCCCAAACAAACCCCAAAACAACATAAACCAACTCTAAATGAACCCCAACATGATAACTTGTCTCTGTCCAGCTTTCGTGCTGTTGCATTTACACAGAAGACCTTTCTCTATTGCTTGAAGCTGAGACTCGATATATTTTAGCACCTGGAGAAACTTGGAAGATCCCTGAGAATGCTCTCGCAAGTGGAGCACATCACTGGATCTTTGCACGTGGACGTGGAGTGATCCTGGCTGGTCCATCAGATCATCCAATGAATCCCATTCAGACCGTGGGGGCTGGAGCGACTCCGCTGGTGTCCGAGAATCTCTGCATTCAGAATCTCAGCAGAACATTTGGTGACTGGAAGCAGATACTGATGTTTTTCTTGATCCCTCAGACATCCTTAGACCTCAACTCGCTATCCAACACTAGATGGAATCAGTGATCCTATACGCTGTTTCAGCATGTTGCAGCAGATGGGGTTTTAATGTGTGCAGACACAGCAGGCATGGCAGTTCCGATTCAGAATTGTTTGAATACTTGAAATACATATAGTTATATATATATAGTCATACATATATATATATATACATATAATCATATATAATCAAGATAGGATACATAGAATAAGAATCGATAATTTCGGCCTCAAAAAGCATCTTCCGGAATTAGTAAAAAAAACTATACATAGAATAAAAGTAAAGCATCTTCTGGAATCGAAAAAACAACCCATACATAGAATATTTCCAACTATCCATTTTGATCCAGGAAAATAAATGTTCTCAGGTTTTTGACCGAAGCATGGATTGCTGCAGCCGCCTGTGATTCAAACCAGTTCCGCAAAGGGACAACTGTGATTTCAAAAACCGGTCAATTGGGGAAACATGTATAAGGGTATATATCCTATACGTAATTTCCTTTGGGGGGTAGCAACCCTGGATGTCTGAAGTTCCTAAACTAGAACGTTTCAACAAAAAAAACAGGTCCCCCGAAATGATGTATTTCTTTTTACGTATATTGCATTAAAAAAAATGAATTTTTGAGGCTCACCGAAGGGTACCCCCCACGACCAGTGTCGTAGAACTATGAAAAAAACTATTTTGCAATGAAAACCAATGGAATTGGGTGGTGTTCCTCAAAAGATTGATGAATATTTTTTCTGGTGACCTATATTCTATGTATGTAGTTCTGCAAGGAATTGGGTCTCTTCCATGTATAAGGGTATATATAATATACGTAATTCCCTGTGGGGAGTATCCTGGATGTCTGAAGTTCCTAAACTAGAACGTTTCAACAAAAAAACAGTTTCCCCGAAATGATCAATTTCTTTTTATATTGTATTAAAAAAATTGAGTTCTTCAAGCTCACCGAAGGGAAACCCCCACGACCGGTGTCGTAGAACTATGAAAAAAACTTTTTTGCAATGAAAACCAATGGAATTGGGTGGTGTTCCTCAAAAGATTGATGAATATTTTTTCTGGGGACCTATATTCTATGTATGTAATTCTTCAAGGAATTGGGTCTCTTTCATGTATAAGGGCTTTATAATTTTTAAGGGTATACATTATATACGTAATTCCCTGTGGGGAGTAGCAACCCTGGATGTCTGAAGTTCTTCAACAAGAACATTTCAGCCCAAAAAACCGGTCCCCCGAAATCATCAATTTCTTTTTATGTTGTCAAAAAAAATGAGTTTTTCAGGCTCACCGAAGGGTACCCCCCACGACCGGTGTCGTAGAACTATGAAAAAAAAAATATTTTGCAATGAAAACCAATGGAATTGGGTGGTGTTCCTCAAAAGATTGATGCATATTTTTTCTGGTGACCTATATTCTATGTATGTAGTTCTGCAAGGAATTGGGTCTCTTCCATGTATAAGGGCCTTATAAGGGTATACATTATATACGTAATTCCCTGTGGGGAGTAGCAACCCTGGATGTCTGAAGTTCTTCAACGAGAACATTTCAGCCAAAAAAACCGGTCCCCCGAAATCATCAATTTCTTTTTATGTTGTTTAAACAAATGAGTTTTTCAGGCTCACCGAAGGGTACCTACCCCCCACGACCGGTGTCTTAGAACTATGAAAAAAACTATTTTGCAATGAAAACCAATGGAATTAGGTGGTGTTCCTCAAAAGATTGATGAATATCTTTTCTGGTGACCTATATTCTATGTATGTAGTTCTGCAAGGAATTGGGTCTCTTCCATGTATAAGGGTATATATAATATACGTAATTCCCTTTCGGGAGTATCCTGGATGTCTGAAGTTCCTAAACTACAACGTTTCAACAAAAAAAGAGGTCCCCCGAAATGATCAATTTCCTTTTATATTGTATTTAAAAAATGAGTTTTTCAAACTCACCGAAGGGTACACTCCACGACCGGTGTTGTATACGCAATCTTTTAATGCAAAGCGGGTGTTCGCTATTCTCTTCTGTTCCTACCCTTGCTTTTCTTTTTCCTTTGATGCTTGTGCATTTGTCGGTACAATGATTGCCTTAAATTTGGCACTTCGTGGGGGGGATCCTTTTGTTCAAGTCAAATTACCTTCTTTAATGTCAAATGTAGTCTAAGTTTACTTGGTATCTTCCTTGATGCCATCGGTATTTGATGCGTCGCTCGTCGCTCAGCTACCCGAGAGGTGCGTGGGCGTGAAGGAAGCAGTAAAAAAACTTGTCAATTTGGGAAACCCATTTCTTTCCTCAATCCTGATCCAAAACTTACCCAAACCCCCCCAAAAAATGTCCAATCTGCTGGGCTTCACACATGTTCTCGATATGGGAATATCGTTATTCCTATGGTATTTGCTTTGGCACTGTTTATGCACTCCAAAATTCTACCCCAAATATTTCTACCCCGGATATTCTAAGTTTTTTTCTGTCCACACCCGAAGGGTTGAAATCGGCCATATTCTATGTAGTCGATCATGATTATATATATATGTGTATATATACCAATTCCCAGTTTGCTTTAACATACGAGAAAACAAGGGACAACTCATATCCTCAAAGATTTTCAAGTTTTGCTTTTTTGTTGATGAACAACATGAGACAACAGTTTCACAACGACAATGACACGAATCATGAATCTGAATTTGAAGTCAGCATTAACAACCATTGCCAGCAAGTCAGAAATCTGTTTCGAAGCGGGCTGAAGCGAGTCTTATGATCTGTCAAGGTACGGAGCAAGAGTGGTGGCGTTAACTCCGGTAGAGGCATTTCGCATCAGTTGCATGGACATTCAACTGGCAACTATCTCTGACACTTTGCAGAATTAGACCTTTTTGACAATTGGAGAGCTGGAGAATGTTTTAATCGAAGGAAGTTTAGAAGTCAAACTTCCGTCAATATGGACAGATGAAAAGCAGAGATGGGAAGAGTCAGAGAAGAGAAGAGAAGAGAAGACTAAGAAAGAAGACTAAAAAAGAGAAAGTCTCAGAAGAAAGAATATCCAGGTGCGCGAAAAGGCAGGAAAGTCGCGAAACACTGAGTTTTGCCAATGATTTGTGGCTCCGGAGGGTCGAAAAGTAGGCTCGCTAAAGCGGCGGGTGCGGAGCCATCTGGCCAGATGAGAGCTGAAAAGTTGCACGCAGTTGTGGCGCGAAGCGTATTTACAAGTCAAAACGTACAAAACACACCACGATCGGACCACTTTTGGAAGTTGAGATGTGGAAAAAGTGCACGCTGTTGTGGCGCGAAGCACATTTCCAGGTCAAAATGTTAAAAGCACCACATGCTCGGACCACTTTTGAAGGTTCAGGTGTGGTTTTGCCTGGCAGGTGCAAGGGATTCTTCACCTTGCCCAAATTGATCAAAACGTGAGGGTTTTGTAGGATTTCCGAAAACAATGGCAGGCGTGAGGCATTTGCAGAGGATCTGCAAAGATGCATGTCGCGTGGCAGGCGCAGTACAAGAGACATGAGATATCATGAGATGTTAGGAGGTCAAGGCGCTGATTTCCTTAGACGGGTTGCATTGGGGAGCATCAGATCTGTAGGTTTGCTAAGATGATTTTGCGTGACAGGTGCAGCGCTTCGTATGACCTGGCATCAATTTTTCGTAGCAGGCGCAATACTTTAGAGACATAGACGGGAAACATCGCAAAATGCATTGGTATGAGGCCGTCAGCTTTGCACTCAACTTTCCATTTTTGAAGGAAGTCTTGCAGAATTGCTTCGTTTTTGTTGTTGCCAAATTCGAAAATTGACGAAGTCTAGCAGAATTGCTTCGTTTTTGTTGTTGCCAACTTCGAAAATTGAGGAAGTCTAGCAGAATTGCTTCGTTTTTGACGTTGCCACGTTCAAAACTTGATGAAGTCTCGCAGAATTGCTTTGTTTTTGACGTTGTCACGTTCAAACCTTGAGGAAGTGTCGCAGAATTGCTTCGTTTTCAGGCTTGCAGATTGCAGATAAGACTTGATAAGACAGATAAACAGATAGATAGGTAGATCGATCGATCGATCGATAGATAGATAAACAGCTACAACTACAACTACAACTACCACTACACTATACCACGACAACTACCAATGCAAACAAATTATGCTACATTACACTACACTACGCTACACTAATTACATCTAATTACGTTACACTACACTAATTACACTACAACTACAGCAACATATCAACTACACCACATTACACTACAGTGCGCTAATTACTCTGCAGTACACTACAACCACAAATACAAATGTCCATTTGCCAAAAATAGCTGACAGAAGTTTTGTACTAGTTGTTGATAATTAGTGTGGACCTACTTGTTTTCCCCTTCGTTATGAGGCGGCATGCAACTAAATTCACCAATTCTGCAAGGCAGCGCTAGCAAACCCGCTAGGTTTGTGCTAGTTTTTTTCCACACCCATGTTCAAGGATATTGTTTTGTGTTCTTGTTTGCTTGTTATTTCAACATGCAGAAAAATCAAGATGTAACTGATGTAACACTTAGCTCCTTAAACCTAAGGATGTCTTAGTGAATTTCTGTGCTACTCAACGATTGTCCTATATTTTTGAAGTTGCGGCTCAACTTTGCGAATTTGTACGTAATTTTACCCGCTAGATCCCCGCTAGCAATGCGCTAGCAAAAGTTTCAAAAAACGGTTTTGGTTGGCCCGTGACACAGTCGCCACCAGAGAACTTGTAGTTTATCCATGTTTATCCTGTCTGTTTGACAAGAGCAACAGTGACAGCAAAGGCAACGACCAGCTCTGCAGATATTCCAGTTCCACCACTAACAACTAGTAGCGGCACTCACTTCATATAGACGCGCGTTAGCATTTACTGCAGGGTTCAGCTACGGCTTCAAACATACATGAAAGATAAAATGCAGAGTTTCAGACTATTTCAGTCAGTCATTGTTTTCAAGGCGCAATAAGAAGCGGCACGCAAGGAATTACATTTATCAACAAAACCAGGAAAACACATTTTGGCAAACCGTCAAATGCAACTACAACTACACTACATTACACAACACTACACTACACTAATTACATTACATTGCGCTACAGCTACAACTACAACTGCAACTACACTTGTAACTACCACTAAATGGCACTACACGACACTACACTAATTACACTACACCACACCACAACTACAACTACACTACCTTACACTACACTAGACTACACTACACTATTCCACACTACAGTACACAACACTACAGTACACTACAATACACTACACTAATTGCACCACACCACAACTACAACTACAACTGCAACTGCAACTACACTACACTTATTACACATCATTACAACTACAACTCCACTACACCACACTACAGCTACAACTGCAACTGCACCACACCACACTACATGCAGCAGTTGTGGGTGAGGTGACGACTGCAACCATTGCAGCCACTCCAAAAAAACACAACTTCAACCACTTTTCGGTCCATCAGTGGATTCGCTCTGCCATCCGCTATTCACAACAACCAACCTCTCCTATAGGTTTCCTATTTTTGAAACTTCCGCCACCGCCTTGTGCGGTACTACTGGTATGTTTTTTTTTAATGTGCGTTTTTTTCGACAGATAGGCTGCGGCTTTGCCTCTTGAGGTCAGAAGCCTTCCGAATTGGTTTCCACGATTTCGTGCTCTGGAAAGGGAAGCCTGCAAGCACCTGAAAGACAAACTGTTTCGAGCGAAATCTGTGATAGACATGGCACGCCCACAGAAGGCAGGGAATACACATGTTGTGGGTGTAATCGTAGGTTCATTATATGATTTTTTTTTCCAGGGGGATCTTAGTTTGCATTCAAGTGATGCTGAACCGTGATGCAACAAAGAGGGGCTGCTGGTTAATTAACAGACATTGACAGATTTGTCTTGGGAGGTGCAAATTTTGAAGCCCTTGAAGCACAGGAGCCCACTGTCAACGCTTTTTGGCACGCCTGCACGGCCATGGCCCATCATGACCCATGTCTGGAGACAAAAGTGCTTCAGGAGCAGCACAAGACTGAACGCGCCAGGTTGGTTGCAATATCCAGCTTGGTACAGTGCCAGATTATTTGGAGATGTTTAGGTAGGTGGAGAGTTGGTTGAGTATCGATCACACATCACACGTTTCTAATGATCACTCGGACTCTTCAACACAGAATCTGTTCCGGTGCCTGGTTTGGCGGTCCGTAGGTTCGGTGAGTCAATCCAACTTGGAGCCTGAGAAGGACTGCGAGAGGCCAATCTTTCTCACAACGCCTCTTGGATGGAAGGACTCATGATTTTTTTATGATATTCACCTATGGTTGTTTGGCACTGAGTTTATTTCCCACTCACCCAGGAACAAATTCTATCCTGCAGGATCACCAAAGATCCCCAACATCCATCGAAGTTCACGTTTGATTCACCAAAACATACAAATATACAATCTATATGCAGCGTATATAATTTATATAATTATTCTCGTTTCAGGGGAAACTAGGTGAGTTTCTGGATTTGATGTACTCCCAGGCCGCGGGACCCCTTCGCCGTTCGAGAGAGGCCTCTCAGTCCTAGTCTGAAGCGACCTGCTTCACAGCGGGAGCCTTAAAACCTGCAAACTTCGATCACCTTAGATCACCTTAGATCTATGATATATCATGATATGCTATGATTATGATTGATTATGAATGATCCATTATACATGTCTACAATAGGTCTATGGAGTCCACCAGGGGTCTGTGAATGATTATAGATGATTATAGAATATTATAGTTATTATAATATATAATGATGAATGTCTCTGAAACACATGTAAACACATCAATTCTGAGGATAATCCCTAGGTTGTGAGCGTCCGTTGGCAAATGCAGCAATGCTGCTTTCCTATGTACTGTAGAGAAGGTTGCAAGCATGTGTACTATAGGATACCAGCAATGCAATTGAGATGAAACGCTTTTGGCGGCAACAGGTCAGCGATTCTTGATTCGTATCCCTCGCGCGGAGGGAAGCAGCTGAGCTGAGCTTGCTGGGACAAGTACACCTTCCAAGTCGCACTTGAAGTGGTGTTCGTAGTGGGCGCTAAACACAATGGATGTATGTCTTGGCAAGAGGGCATTTACATACTTACATAATTACATGCATTTACTGGGTTCATGTATGGGTCAACACTATCAACATGGACATGGACCCCCAATTTTGAATAGTTTTGACCCATACCGGTTACTGCTGTAGCCAGTCGCAGGCGCCATGTTTTGGCTCTGCATTCTGCACTTAGGGACGACCAAAACGATCAGAAAGGACATGGAGGAGTTCGTTTGCGCCCTTTATCTGCCACTCGACCAAAGACGTCAAGCCAGTGATGTGCAGGTTGCGAGCGCGCTGAGAACATGGTCGATGCTAAAGACAAGTAGTATTGACATATCCTGATCATTACTGATCACTGCTGGTATCATCCAACTTGTTCCAAATTGGACCGTATGTTTGCGCCAAGCAGCATACATTGCGATTTACATAGCTTTACTAGTTATGAGCTCACTCAAAGTCAAAAGAACAGCATGCCAAACTTCGTATTTTCATTTACTGCAACTTGGACTTGTTACATGTGACTACACGTGCTAGAGAAGCGTTCTTCTACTCTGATTTTGCGAAGCAATTTCAGTTGTCTCACCAATTCAACCCGAGGGGTTTGTGTATATAGATATGTGCAGATGCAATTTATTGTTTTGCATATCTTGGCGAGGTTACTCAGAATTTTTCAAAATGCGTTGGATCCGTAGGCGAGCATTGGATCCGCCCACGGCGTTTGGCTGGAGCCAAGAAGTGGAAGCGGTGGAATCTGATGGAATCTGCACAGCGCTGCCAATGGCAGCAGCTGGAATGCAGTGCGAACAAATGATGTGCCAAAGGCGGCTGCAGTTATTGTGGATTATGCATGATTATCCAATGTTTGAGATCTTTCACGAGCTGCGACTCTGCCAACATGTGCCAACTCTCTTAACCAATCATGTCAATGAAGGATAAGAAAGGTGCTGGAGGAAGGCCAACCTCCAAAAGCAGCTATTTCCAGCAGCAAAGAAGCCTCAAATGTGTGTGGAGGTTTTCAGCCCCGCAGAATCTTTTGGCCCACTCAGGTCTTTTGTGGAAATCAATAGAAATCACTCTTCGGACTTTAGACATCTTGACCCAGCAGACGCTGCCAAATTCCAAGGTTTGCCAAGGCCACACTCAAGTAGTTCTGTAGATCGAAGCAGCACCACCCAGAACTCAGAGCCCAGCTTTTCTCAGAGCTCCCTTGGAACTTGACGGCAAAGTGTCCTTCTGAGAAGCACTCCGCCGTCCTGGGAGGTGGGCTGCAGATGTACATATTAAGAACTCGGTGCGACCTTAGAAGCCCTCAACTGCCACAGGTCCTACCAGGCTTGACCTTCTGCTCAAGGTTCGAAGAACCCTGTGACTCTGACCTTCCTCAACTTGTTTCAGGGATTTGAAGTTTCTGACATTGTCTTGAAATCATGCCAGCACCTGAAGAAATGACTCGCGGAGTCATTAGAATATATTAGAATCAGATTGCAATCGGAGGCAAGGGGACATTCCTGACGTCCATGGTCGTTCCGTCTTATGAGGCGGCTTCTTTTCTGATCCTGATCTATTTTTGATATTTTTTGATCATTTGCACCCACTTTGTTGGTGCTAGGTGAGAGTGCCAGCACTTTGGGGAGCCGCGAAGACCTCAGACATGGTGACCAACTAAGATCAACTATGATATACCCTAAGAATCATTGAGATACTGCCAGAACTCCGTGTTCCTATACTGAAATAGAGCACTTTTTTGAATCAGTTGTTTGTGATTTTCAAGTCTCCGTATTTGCTGTGGCACCTCTCCAAGCAGAGTGAAATGCTTCCCGCTCCTCTCACTGATCATCATTGACTGCAAGGCTCCTCGGATAATGCCCCTAGCTCCTGGAAGCACCAGGAGTGCAGCCACGATTTTGATCCATTCTGGGAAACTGATGGAAACTGTGAATCTACTGTAATGGAAGCTTAAGACGGGGGCACATCCAATTCCTGTTTTCACCTCCTTTTGGTGGGACATTCCAATGTGTTTTACATGCTTGTGACAGATTTTGACATGCTTTTGCCATGATTTTGCCTCAGGAGTTGTAGTTCGTCATGCAGCTCTTGCTCCGACCTGCCGGTGGCACCGGTTGCCGCTCCGAAGGTCAGGTCCTTCCAGGCACTGCGCGAAGCAGTGCCACGCCCTGGCACTCTGCACACGGTGGATTTGTCCAAGGCCACACTGGGAGGGCGTAGCCTTGCCGTTGAACTCGTTGAAGAAGCGGTCTTGAATACATACATATGTAATCAGATGTATTTATATATACACATATAATATTATAATTACAGTATATAGTTGTCTTATAGATGTTATAGTTCTACTTGTTATTGATAATCATCATAGTTATTTGTTTGATTATGAATATGACTACTCTTCTTCTTCTTCTTTTCTTAATGATCAATTATTATTGTTGTTATCATTTCTATTTTTTGTTGCTAGGTTTTATGATGTTTTATGGATTCTTTCTGGAATTCTAGGACATTTGTCGGATTGAAAAAGATTAGCCGTGCAGATGCTTGAAGGTGGAAGAGGAAGCGACGCTTGCTGCCATGACAGTACCAGTATCCAGCTTGGGATGTCCAGACTTAGTTGTCATAGCGCTTACTTGTCCGGCGTTTGCGGCAACGGTCTCTGAGGCTCAAAGTAGCAACCTCAAAGCGAAGAAAAGCTCAGTGATTTTCAGCACAGTGTGCAGCCGGCCTGTATTTCAGGATTTGCCCTGTGAGAGTTGTTGCACTCTTGCCATTTGCCACCAAGCTCCAGGAAAAGGGAAGAGCAGAAGAATCCAATGCGAACTTCTGCTGACATGGAGGAGACTTGTCCAACGAAGATTGCATTTCAGTTCCACCCATGGTATCCCATGCTGGGGAACCAGGAACTGCAGCGTGAAAATGATCGACTCATGCGGTCACTTCAAGAGCGTACAGCTCAAGAGAAGGAACTCGAGAGGAATGTGGCAACCTGAGAGGAATACTTCGATTTTGGAAGTGGGTTTTTCTAGGAAGTCTTTCTGCGGTTCATCATGGTAGGTCCGCTCTGTCTTAAGGCACGCATGCAGAGCATCATTTTCCAGCGGCGAGAGCAGGACGAGTGGTGTTACATGCATTTAATACGCTGGCTGATTTGGGGGAGACAGTTCAAATTTGTTCATAATATGTGTATATATTATGATATAATATAATATAATATAGTATAATATAATATAATATAGTATAATATAAATATAATATAATATAATATAATATAATATAAATCAAATATAGATATATAAATAATAAATGATATAAATATATATATACATTATATGTTTATCTATCTATCTGTTCGTTTGTCTGTCTGCCTGTCTTTCTATCTACCTATCTACCTATTTATCTATATCTATCTGTCTGTCTGTCTAATTGTCTAATCTATCTATCTGTCTGTCTGTCTGTCTGTCTGTCTATCTGTCGATCTCTCCATCTCTCTATCTCTCCATCTCTCCATCTATCCATCTATCCATCGATCCATCGATCGATCTATCGATCTATCGATCTATCGATCTATCCATCTATCCATCTATCCATCTATCCATCTATCTGTCTGTCTGTCTGTCTGTCTGTCTATCTATCTATCTATCTCTCTATCTATCTATCTATCTATCTATCTATCTATGATCTACATGTTCAAACAGTTTTCAATCATATTCATATTCAAATCTTTGACGCGAAACATGGAAGTTCTAGAGGATCTCCGGCTGGCTTGTGAGTCAGCAGCTTGCAGGCGCCCAAAGATTCCCGTTTCGCATTGCTTGAAATCCGACATCGGAGTAGTTGGCCTTTCTCTGTGTTCATGTCTCGTTCAATTCGATGCAAGAGGCCAAGCGTAAGTGAAGCTCCTGAAGTATCGGAGGCCTGAATGGTTCGTCAGATGTCATTGGTGTCACTGTGCCTTGGACATGACACTGAGGGTCAAGATGTTCAATCAGAAACGAACCAACAACATTCAAAACCTTGTCGGAGGCCTTCATTTTAGTTGAGTGGAGTTGCACAAATCTAAGATGGGAACCATTCCTTTGGTCAAGTCAACAAGTTACCTCCGGGCCAAACGTGAGAAGTGAAAGGGTGTCCAATTTGCCCGCAGGTGTCAAAAGGAACACCTGGCCAGCGAGAGCAATTGCCAGCAGCTTTGGACATGGCATATACCCTCTGGATCCCTCTGGTAATTTAACAACCTGCCATGGAACATGGCCATTTCCACTAGGCAAATCATCTATATACAAGCGGGCCAATTGTCCATACCGAGAGCTATGTCAGATTCCCAGAGGGTATACGTGTAGATTTGTAATCCGCATGCAATGCAGAGGATGCAGTATTGAGCCAGCTTTGTCATTTGTTCAGTTCAATCATAGTGGTCTTGCAATCTGACTCTTCCGCCGCCTCTGGCTTGAAGTACCTCACGAAAATCGCTGAAAGTCAGCATTTGATCAAGTCATCCAAGCACTCTCTGAGGAAACAAAAATGTTGTTTGTTCGTTCATGTGTGCACCACGGATGCATACAGACATACAGTTACACTTAACTACATACGCTTACAAGCACATGCACACATCAATACAGTTACAGTACTAATGAAAGTCCTGACCTCTTGGCATCAGTCAGTAGATCGTTGGATCTCCGTTTGCCATGAGCGAGAAGGGAACATCCCCACTGTTCCTGACCCTTTTGTGGCTTGCCTGTTCAAAAGCTCGGTCTGGCAATACATGCAGTTTGCCGTGATGTTGTTTTTAATTAATGCAAGCTTCTTTGCATTGAGTATGCGCCACAGAGCAAATTGATTTCCTGTTTTTTTGCATTGCCTTGTGCGAGTTGCGCGACACCCATTGATTTTGCGATCTCAGGATATTAGTCATCTTTGTCGTTCTAGGCCCCGGCCTTTGACCGACAGGGTGCTTCATGTTGTTTTCAATTTGCGGTGCAATTGCAGCCGCTGGAATTTAGGTAGCAGCTACTTTGGCTTGGCGGCTCTGGTGCGCCCCTGAGAGAACCCCGCAGACACGGCAGATCATGCCACCGCCGGCCTGACAGGTGCTGGTCTTGGCGTACCAGTGGTCTTCAAGTCAGAAAGGCGCCCAAGTTGTGCGCTCTGCTTGTTTTCAACAGACAAGTTTCTGGCACGGTTCTTGCTACCAAGTCTTGCTGCTTGCGATGGCACCATCAAGGACGTGAATTGACGACCAGAAATTGCTGCGAGGTTCTGTGCAGACAAAGTCTCAGCAGCAGAGCAAGGCAAGTGTCCATCCTCAAGGGTATCAGGACCGAAGAAACGTGAGACACTCTGAGAGGTTCCCACCTGTGACGCTATCCAATCACTATCCAATCATATCCAATCTATCCACTGTTCGCAGCAAGATTCAAGCGGTGCCAGGATCCGTTACGATGGTCATTTCTTCCTTCCAATGGTGCAACTTGTCTGAGTTTGATGGGTGAGATGGTTGCAAATTGATCGTCCAGATTGATCAAAGAGAAATCAGGGCATGCGTCTCAGACCTTGAACGCCTTGTCCTGATTTGAAATATTTGGAAAAAACACAAAAATACAGGGAAGTGGAAAACCACCGAGTTTCAGTAGAAGATTGTAGAAGATCATCTCCAGGGATTCATTTTTTTATGGTTACCAGCGCAGCATGCTAGATCGATCGTCAACACTGGCTACTGTGGCAATTCGTCCAGAGAGCCTTTTGCTTGTCACAAAAGTGTAACAATGTTCGCGACAGCAACCCAAGGTACAAAGAGCCAACACCTTGGAATCGACAAAGTATGAGAATGACCTTTGCGAGCTTAAGTGTTTAGCAATGCACCGGCCGACGCACGAACTTTGGCGGGAGGCAGGAACTGGATGCACTGGTTCGGAAGTTGGATGACAATGAGTTTTGATTAATTAGTTTTCAACAAGTTGCTCTTGTGCTATTTTGTTTTGTTTATTTTCTTCTCGTTTTGTTCTTTTCCTTTTGCCATGCAAACCTAGGACCAGTAGACTTCATATCTCTTCGTGTTTCCTTCGACGAAAGTGTTGTGCTAAAGTGGTTTGGTCAACGACGGCCAAAGTATATCCGAATCATGATCAAACCAAGAAGAGACCAGCAGAAGATTCAAAACGAGACCGAGGTAAAGCACAACCACCTGGTCCAAACCAGAGCTGTGAGGGCGATGACGGTTACCCAATGAACTATTGCAACAAACAACACAACAACGCTGCAAAGAAATTATTGAAGCATATATTTGATGTATTTTGATGTCAGATATGCCTGAAGTCCGAAGTGTTCTGAGTCAACAGCACCCACGTTCCGCTGCACATGAAAGTGCAGGCGAGCAGTGACTACCCATATGCTTGGCACTTACATGGACGCAAGAGACTATGGGAGATCCGTGTCCAGATGCGTTTGAAGCAGGCAGGGAATGGGAACCGAGCTGCAGAACTGCGGAACAGATTGCTGCACCATGACAGGTGCCTTCCAGCAAGCTCTATTTCGGGATAGAGCTGCCGGACTGTGAGGCTGGATTTTGAGACCACAGGAGAGAAAGAGAACACACACACAAACAATCACAAACAATCACAAACATACAGGAAAACCATGAAAAAACAACAAACAACATCAAAATTGGGGAAGTTTCGGACTTTTGAATGTGGACAATGTGGCTTGTTCTTGTGATTCGACTCATGTTTTTTTGCTTCCAAGCAGGCTGCATCAACAACTGCTCGACAAATGAAAGCTGTCCTCATCAGAGCCATCCAAGGCGCACAGAAAGATGCTCGGGAAAGGCCACTCAACGGATGTGATAGAGATATATAGAGAATATAGAGATGAACAGGGACAACACATGGGATGCGGCTGGGACATGTTTGAATACTTTGCAGCACTTAATGCATACAGTATATTTTTTAAAAAACATAATGTAGTACCACGTATTCCATTGGTGAATGGAGCCCTATTACTTGGACTCTCATTCTGGTTTCTGATATCATCGAATTGTGCACCCTCCTATACTGTACCGCAAATCCACTTGTCAATCATCGTTATATCATCAGTCCCCGTTAACAGGTCGGGGGGTCGCATGTACACGCGAAATAAAGATCGCATGTACGCGCGAACGACTTGGGGAAGAAAATCGCATGTACACACGGGCAGATCGCAACTACACGCGAATAGGAAACGGCCATTTTTTGCTCGTAAAAACCAATGAAAATAGAGACTGGTGGTATATGGGACGTTTCTATCTGCAACCATGCGTGGAAGTTGGTGGAAGCAGGCTATGTGCGGCCAAGATCGCAACTACACGCGAATAGGAAATGTCTTTAATGTAAGTTATCTCTCTATCTCTCTATCTATCTATCTATCTATCTAGCTATCTAGCTATCTAGCTATCTAGCTATCTAGCTATCTAGCTATCTAGCTATCTATCTATCTATCTATCTATCTATAAACCCTAAAGATGTCGTGGCTCTTCTTCCATCAAGTGCAAGAACATATAAACCCTAAAGGGGTCGTGGCTCTTCTTAGATCAAGTGCAACAACATCTAAACCCTAAAGGGGTCGTGGCTCTTCTTCCATCAAGTGCAAAAACATATAAACCCTAAAGGGGCCGTGGCTCTTCTTACAGCAAGTGCAACAACATATAAAGCCTAAAGGGGTCGTGGCTCTTCTTACATCAAGTGCAACAACTTCTTACATCAAGTGCAACAACATATAAACCCTAAAGGTGTCGTGGCTCTATTTGCATCAAGTGCAAAAACATATAAACCCTAAAGGGGTCGTGGCTTCAAGTGCAACAACGTATAAACCCTAAAGGGGTCGTGGCTCTTCTTACATCAAGTGCAACAACATCTAAACCCTAAAGGGGTCGTGGCTCTTCTTCCATCAAGTGCAACAACATATAAACCCTAAAGGTGTCGTGGCTCTTCCTACATCAAGTCCAACAACATATAAACCCTAGAGGGGTCGTGGCTCTTCTTACATCTAGTGCAAAAACATATAAACCCTAAAGGGGCCGTGGCTCTTCTTACAGCAAGTGCAACAACATATAAACTCTAAAGCGGTCGTGTCTCTTCTTACAATTAAATAAAATTTAAGAGTAGTGGTGTGTACATGTGATCGCGGTTGCAGAGTACATGCGTGTACATGTGATTGTCATCTGCGTGCGCAGGTGAACTCACTTGCGTGTACATGTGATCGTGGGGCTCACTTGTGTGTACATGTGATTATCAGCTGCGTGCGCAGATGATCGTAAGGCTAGAAAAAAGTCTCTGCGTGTACATGTGATCTGGATTTGCGTGCGCGGATGATCCCTTGACCCCGTTAACACTTGCTCTTTTGGGGGACATAGCATAACATAGCCATTTTGGGATACAACGCGATTCTCGTTTCATGTGGTGTGAGGCGTGATCGGCGATTTTTACTACTCCGATGGAGAGGATCCTGCCGAGGCCGCTGACACAGCATGGCAACACCTGGGATGACAGCAATGATCATCGGTCGGTGTCGCCATGTCGCCAGGTCACCCCCGGCGAAGAAGTGGAACCATCCACTTTCGTTATGCCGCTGTGGACCTTTGATCAGTTTGTGGTGTCAGAGGTTGGAGAGGAGCCGGAAATTACTGGCGACCTGAGCAACGTGGGAATGCGTCGGAGTGATGGACTGAAGGCAGAGCTTTGATCCCTGCCGTTTGTTGGCTGATTGGCTGCTGTTGTCCGCCAGATCTGCCTCCTCCCAGGTCATTGAGTCCCCCCAAAAAAACTTGCTACCTAGCGAACCTAGAACCTTGGAATTTGTAGGTCCAAAAATGAAAACCTGGTTTTGGAGGAGATTTCCCAAAAAAACAGGTTTAAAAAAAAAACACGTTTTTTTTTGCCCAGTTAGATGATGTTGACAAATATCTTCGCAAGGGAAAACGTCTACAAATTCCCATGGAGTGGCGCCACTTAATTCCGAAACCATGAATTCAATAGGAGTGAGGTTTCTATTTAATTGCCTGGGATGAGGGACCAGAGCTACACATCCTAACATTTTCTCTTTCTAAGACTTGGGAAACTAGTACTAGAGAGCATACCCCAGATTTGTTTTTTTTGTGTTTTTTGAAGACTTTTCTGAATATACCAAATGCTCCCTGTCGACCTCACCTGTTGACATTCAGCCCGTCCATAATATCTTTTTTGGGCTCACAGTCTTTCCCAACGTTTTTGGGATGTCCGTGCCATTCATTGCGCGGGTGAGTGGCCCACTTGTGGAAGAGAAGGTCTGCATTTCCCAGTGTTCAGGCGAAATTCTATGGCCCACCAAAAACATCTACGAGGTGGCTTTTGGGGGGGATACCAACCGCCAATACCTTCAAGTCCTAGACAAAAGTGTCACACCAATTGAGCAAGTCTACACTGAGATCTTCGGATGCCAAGCACCAAGATTAGCAGCCCCTTAGCGATGTGGAGAACTACAGTAAGCTTGGTTTCCTCTTTTGGCCGTTTTTAGTTGAACAACACGTATTTCACCCATAAACTTTCTTTGGGGCCACCACAAGCGCAAAGGTTTGTGGAAAGCTTCGCAATAGAATTGCCCGTTACTGCCCAGAACTTGTTGATGATCATGCATTAGACAATGAAATGTCTGAGATCATGAGCTCTAATGGCAGTTTCATGGCACAGTTAGTTCACTGGGTTTGCACCAGAAGAGCAGGAGGGCATATATCGATTCTCTTCTGCATACGGCACACTTTGTTCTTACACATTCTGTAAAAAAATGAATGATGAATTGTGTTGCAGGATGTATTTACATTAAAGGGTACTATGCTCCAAATGACATGTATCAGTTAACACTCTGGGCAAACGAGGACGATCCAGGCTCTCACTTACTGGCTCCATCGGTTGGCTCCTGTGGTTGGGGCATCTGTGAACTTGTCTGGGGAGGCAGGGTCAATAAATCGGTTCCAAGTGAACCCTATTCAAAGGAACCTTCCACATAAGTTTTGGGAATGTCGGTCTGATAACCCCATACATGTTGAAAACATTCCCGCAGGTATCACTTGAACTTCATGAGGGACGGGTAGCTATCCCACAAGCTCTCATGCGGGGTTTCCTTGAACCCGTTCTGGGGTGGCTTCATGAACGTCAACATGAAGAAGCAAACAGCAATACCGAGTTCAAAGTGTTCGAAAATGCAGTAACTTGTTCAACAAGTGTTTTGTACACTCCAAAGTTTGGGAACGTGTTTTTTCAAAGATGATTGGCAGTAACATTGAAATTCCCAATGGGTAGGTGCCCCAAGAGCTTTGCACTGAGGAGAGTCCGTATCTTGGTTCCTTCTTGGCGGCCCTGCTAGTACAACGTGGCTCCCGGTTTAGGGGGATGGCTTGTGAGCTGGCCAAACAATGTGCAGAGTTGCTGGTTCAGCACAGGCAGTCCTTCCTGGGCCCGTTGAATGAAGACAGTGTGTTTTCCTTGGCAGTGCACAGGGACTTCGGTGGCAAGATTGATTCTTCAATTATCTACTTGATTTTTGCAGGGGTTCTTGATGGCAAGTACAAAGATCTTCAAACTGGTTTGGATGCCCACAAAGTGAACTTGAAACCGGCGAAAATTTTGAAGGACTTTGGTTTTAAAAGATGGGTTGGGAAGCTGCTGTTTCTTTGAAACATGGTTGAGCGCATACCTAAATCACAACAATCGAACAGTTGAACAGAATAAATCAAGGTACCTATTTTTTCATGGCTTGCAGGACTGGGTAAATGCCTACCTGCACCGTCTAACTGTGGATCTGCAAGGCCTCAATTACTACCAGGCAGGGATGCATCAAACTGTGTTTAATTCCAAGAAATTTCCCGTAGCGCATGTGTATATTATATTTGTGATATTTGTTGCATGTGTATTCTATATATATAAATAAATGAAGATTAGGTATAGATTAGGTATAGATTAGGTATATATCGATACAACAAACAAACATACATATATATATAGTAACAGACACACACATTTTTCTACATGATAGGACGTTTCCAAAATCAAGAAAAAACAAAAATCGGTAGTCTAGCCTACAGAACTCAGAAAACTGGGGTCCAATGGCTAGGCAATTTTCGATGCTGGCAATCCAGTAGCTTCTGTCGGCAGCACGCTTGTTACCACCCTGTGGTGCCCTGAAGTTGGCAGACTAGCGGCACTCGCTCCGCAAGCGACTTTGCCTGCATTGGGGTAGAGCGTGGGCTTAGGGCTTTGGGGTGTCAAACATGTGGATTTCAATCTATGCTCATCCTTTCCATTCGAAAAACACACAGATTCATCTCAATTCCTGGACATGTCAAGCACTCTTCAAGAGAGATCCAATTTGTGTAAAACTAGCGCATTTGGGCTGAAAAGCATTCCTCGCCTTCAGTTGCATCATCCATCAGTGATCCTTTGCCATGTCGATGTCCAAGTTCAGCACTCCTGACAAGATGGTTCCAGAGCCTTCCACACCTCCCAAGCTGTACCCTCCGGCCAAGCGTTCTTCGCGTTTGATTCCTACTATTTCAGACCCCAAGACGCCATCTAAACAATGGGAGGTGCAGTCATGTGTTGCTGAGCCGGGAAGCCCATCGCCAAGTTTGGCTAGCACTTTGGTACTTGGCCAAACACCACCTAAAACACCACTTCGTGCTGATGCTCGTATGGACACTGGTGAGGCACAGGGAGAGGTCTCTAGTGGATCAAAGGGACCTGAAGGTGTTCGGGTACCTGTTGGGACGCCCTCTTCTACTTTCAAGACCACTCCCAAGAACAAGGTGAAGGGAAAGGAGACTGACAGTGCTGCCGGTGATTGGACAGACAGGTACGATCTCAATTTGCTGCCAATGATGTGTGCTGACAGTGATTCGGAAACCGACGTGCCTGTGAATGTGAGATTGATTACCCGAGTGAACAAACTACGCTTGGAGTACAGGGAGCTCGTGAGTTACAACAATTCCTACAAAGCCCGCACAGAATCATGGCCTTCCTTCAGAGATGGAAGCCTGAGGGGTACCGGATGGTTCAAAGACGGTAGCAAATGGCAGAAGGAGGGCGCTATGCCACCAGTGGAACTCCCCAAAAAAGTCAAAGCGGAGTTGAAGGAGAAGGAGCCTGGTCTCTTGATGAGCATGCAAGATATTCGCTACCTCATGGAGAACAAGAAAAAGAGCCCGATGAAAAAGAGCCCGATGAAATCAATGAAGGCAGCTTCAAAGAAGAAACCATCATCAAAGACAGCAAAGGGATCCCCAAAATCCAAAGCCACTGGTGCATCCCCCATCAAGAAGTACTTCAACAAGGACAAAACCTCCGGTGGCGTGCGCAAGCCTGCGGCTGCTTCGTCGTCGAGCGGCGCCAAAAAGTGAGCCAGTTGGCATCGAGGGGTGCCTGAGTGGAAAGCCAATTCGACTTGAGCGTGGTCTGTACAGAGTGCACTTGGACAGTAGCACTTGCACGACGGCTATGAAAGTGAAATCACAACAGCAGAACAATACATTAGTTTTTCAAATCAAAAGAGATAGTCATGATTTGACACTTCTCTGTTTGGATATGCCTTTGGGAAAGGCCCTGCATGAATCGCCACGCAGTCGGACCGGATAAGTAAGTTGAGTCATGAAACTCCGAGGCACTCAAGGTGTGGTAGACTCTCCGCCCATTTGTTCTTGAAGCTATTTTTTGTTGAGGGGGCCGGTGACAGTCTGTCAATCTCCAGTGAAATAGTGAGACATCTTATTACAGAAATGTTAGGCTTGGCTTGTCATATCAATAGTTCTGTGTTGTGCTTGGCCCACTTCATTCACCAACGGCTGCTTCGAAACAGAAGGGCATGTGTATGCAAATATAGGCTTCCACCATGCCACGCCCCGTACAGTCACCTTCCTTAGGTGCCTGGCGTTCGCTGATTCTTCTCTTGAATGGAACGTCAGAAGAAATGGTCTAGATTTTGTCTTCAGTGTGGGATAGTTGAAGCTAAGTATGAATGACAGCGTCATAGTGTGTCATGGATCTTGTATTGAAGTTTGCTGCCAACAATTCAACCGAGATACCAGTTGCTCGGCCGATTGACAACCAGGATCTCAGCGATTACGATCTCAATCATCCACCTGCGTTTGGCCACCGGTAGCCATGTATGGTTTACCCGCTGCTGGTGGTGGACGACCGAGTGGCGTGCATGGGGCACCCCCTCCACCCCCTGCTGGTGGAGTTGCACGTCGTGACCGTGGTGAGCGTGATCAGCAGCGGCCTCCGCCACCGCAGCAGCTTCGCGCGGCACCTGCACGTGGAGGTCTGGGCGTGGGTTGTGCTGGGACAATCTGGGGACTTGGGATTGAAATTATTTCATTGTTTTATGATGCACTAACACTGTAATATGCATAGTTGCGGGGTTGAAAATAATAAACCATTGAAATCTTGGGCTTAAAGTCTGTGGTTATTACAGGACTCACGGGCAACTCTAACTTTTTGAAGATTGGTTGGGGTTATCATCACACAGGTGAATTTCTTTTGACTGGTGTATGAATCCTGTCCCTGTAGGACAACCAGTAACTACACGACAGGTGGCAAAACCAGCTGCCGGTCGACGCAAGGCTACGCAAGCCCTTGATATTCAATCAATGTATGACATTGAGACTGCTGACCTTGCCAATTTGCTCAAGTCTTGTGACCGTC